CATTCCTACTCTATGTGATGCTCAGCCCTTCCTTCCTCACTCTCATTTGCAGACACGCTGTCGCTGTCTCCCTCCACCTTCCACCAGAGCCTTCCAGCTGCCAAGAGCCCCCATCCTAGCTCCACACACCTAGCCACAGGCAACTGCCAGTTCCTCTTTCTAGCTGGATAAGTGCTCACCACTGATTACCATCATCCTTCCCATCTTTGATTGCTTACATTCCCTCTCTCCCACCCAAGACTCATCATTTCCTGATGCCACCGTTAGTGTCACACAGGGACTTGCTGCCTACCTCAACTACAGACAGCACTGTAGTCAGCCAAGGCTCGCTCCTCTGCAAAAGGAAATGAGAAAGTCGATTACACACACATGCAGGCGCATAGAGAAGAGTGCACAACATCTTTTCCCAGCCAGAGAACTAGAAACCCAGCTCCCAACCCAAGAGTAGGAGGGTGTCTGCAACCCACCTGGCTGGTAGTAATCATAGACTTTGATGCTGGCTGGTTTCAGATTCTTCATCTGAATTACTTGTTCCAGTTGCAGAATGAAAGTCTGAGATTCATCGCTGAGCTTGTGGAGGTGGAAAGAAATTAACGAGGAAGCAGGGAAAGAAGTCATTGCATCTTCATCTTCCCTAGCTTGAATGTTTTCCTGCACTAAATCTCTCTAATCCATTAGAGATTCTGCATTTTAGAAATGGAGTATATGTGAGGAATAGCAGATGCTAACCCAATGACAGTGAAATTGGGCAAGCCCACAGTTCTCCCAGTGCTCTTTGCCCATGCCTAGCCCAGTCTCAGACTTCTCACACTGCTCCTTGTCCTCTGGCTTCTTGCTCTTGCTGTACCAAACCAAATACTTTTTTCCCCATTTACCTTCTCCAGATAAATGTAGACCACATCAGCTTTCACTTCTATTTTCTTAACGATGGCTCTGCGCTCCAGCTGAGATAGGAAACAATAAAACAAGGAAATTGGTGAGCGCTTTCCTTAGGGCTTCCTGACCTGAGGAACCTGCTGTTGTATTGAAGGGATGACGTGGAGCTGGACTCTGTGTGGAACTGTGTCTTTCTCATGCACAAGGGTTTTAGTGGTTATATCTTTGGTAGTCCCTCCTGGACATTCCTTGTGAGCACCATGGGGATGAACTATGCTGTCCCTGCTCAGTTAGAGAAATCTCCTGCTCTGGGGACAAAAGGCCATGTGGATAGTACATAGGACTTGTGAGCTTGTCAGCAGACAGGTGCAGGCACCAGTAAAGATTCTTGTTATCTCATCTCACTGGCTGCTAGACTGCTCTTAAAGACCTGCCTGGGGGCTGTGCAAATAATTCGTCTTTCAGTTTTATGGCTTAATTGGAAAAAAATAATCTTTTTGGCTAGAACTAGAGTATCTCTAAGAAATGTTGTCTTAGGATTTCTGGCAAATAAGTGCTGGCATTTGGCACACCCAGCAGCACATTTTGTTCCTGGCCCAAGCCAGGATAGTGTCAGTGGGAGAAGCTGAACCACCTCTGATATCCCATAGCCAGCCCCTGTAGGCCCTGTATGGAAAGGAGAGGTTTTCGTACAATTATGACAGCAAAGGGCCCCTGTTAATTTAGTTACCTCATGGCCTGAAATGAACAGTTTCCAACAGGAGCAAGCAGGTGGGATCCATTCACCACAGTCGCTTTTTTATTTTATTCCAAAATACTTACCAGTGTCCTGGATCTGGGAACCAGGGCGAATCCGGACAGCAGGGAGACCTCCACGATCGCCATGTTGGATGTCACTCTGCTCCCAATGTAGCTGAAGAGGAAACAGTCAGAGGGTCTGATTCTGTGAGGACAGTGCCCTCCTAGCCTCTTTGCCTCCACCACCATACCCTCTGTGCAGGACCCTGAGCCAGGTAGCCCATACGAGACTGGAGACTGGAGACACGGCAATTACTCGCAGGAGGTAGCCAGCACCTTCCTTCTGGGGATCTACCACCTACCAAATTCACCCTCTGTCCTGTCCGCCCCAAGTGCTGAGTCCCTCCACTGCAGCCGTGAGGCTTTCCTGGCTGCTGTCCCCAAGCACAGCAGGTGCTGCCGGAGGAGGAAACCACCCGTGGGGTCACCTGGCAAGGATGCGGACGGTGAGGACACGTGCATTGGCCTGGCTACAGTTGGTCAGCTCTGTGTTGACACGCAGAGTGAAGGTTACAGCAGCCCGCGGGGGAGGCTCATGGTACCTCAGCACTATCTGCAGGGAGATGACCAGAAGGGGAAAAGACAGGCCAGGCACGATCTCATGCAGGGAGAAGAGGCAGAGTCCTCCACCTCTCCACTCTCCCACGTTCATTCCACCACCTCACCTGAGCGAAGACGCAGCTGCTGCCGTGGACCTGCACCAGGAACTGCCCCGGGACC